TTGAATTTTTTATTGAGTGATGTCCTTGGGTCATTAGTTGGTAATGATCCTTGGCAATTGAATTAGGTGTTACGAAAAAGGTTTAGTTGGTTTGACTTGTAACTGAACCGCGAAGGAAACTTGTATTCAAAATTATTAGTTTTGCATCCATCATCGAGCATCATATTTTATATCTCGCATCATGTTAAATATGGCATTGTTACTATGTGTAGTGAACGAAGGTGAGCACGTGGTAGTTAATCAAGTAGTTGAGGAGGTTGATCCATCTGTGGAGGTTGGTGTTGATATCGGTGGAACGACTCCGGACCCAGATTTTTCCGTCAACAAAGGCAAGCCCCAGAAGCATTTAACCCTACCTTGTGTTTTACCAATTGATTTCACTTTTGTTTTTCTATACTACATTAAGTGATTAGAAGTTAAGTGAAAACCTAATTGGTGCATTACCGACCTTGTTCTTCCATATCTACTCTGTTATTAGTTTTAATTCGTATATGCCTAGTTTTGCTTAGCTATGCTTAGAATGATGAAAGTCGGGTGATTACCTGTCATCTGCAAGTGTCAAATGGAACTCTGGTTACTTATGTTATCATGTGATATGAGCATGTGAAGTAATAAATCTGGACCAGGCGGACTCGGTGTGTGTGAGCCATAAGACATGGAGGTCTTGTGAGCGAGTTCTTTCCGCCTGTGTCGGTTAAGGTCCGTACCGTTGTTGAACTGTGTGCGGTGAGACTTTGTAGTACTAACCACATACTCCGGTAAGCCTTAACTTGGTTATTCTATTACGAGAATGGCTACTCACGCACTAGGAGTGGAGAGATGGCGGGAATAGCGTGTACCCACGTGGCAATGGGCTGGATTGGTGGAGTACTGTATTCTCGGGTGGCGCAGACCCGTTCTTGTTTAGAGGATCCGAGGGTAGGTTGGTATATGTAGGTCGGGGACCTGCATATGTCGTGTGGTCTAGAATTCCCAGCTAGGTTTTTAATCGGTTCGAATCGCCGTTGCTCCTCGGTTATGGAGACTCACTTCTCTGTTCATCATCGTAGTTTAAATAACTGGAATTTGAGGTTGGTTTGAGAAAGTGTTGGATATGAAGTTTCATGATCTCAATGCGGGTCATGTCAGCTTTGTATATGATCTTTATGAAGTTTTAAATGTTGATATAAGAATTTTGTTAAAAAGCTTTTACGTAAAAGAACTTTGATTATTGCTACAGCCATACCTTGAATCCCCTGAGTCTGCATTCCTATGTTCTATTAATTCTTATTTCGGTTAAGTCTTGTTGAGTACTTTTGTACTCAGGGTTCGTTGACCCTTGTTGTAGGTGAGGCTCATGAACAGATATGTTTTGGATCGTGCTGTATGACTGTTGTTCCATGTGATGACGATAAGTAAATGTGTGGCTCTTGGGCAGGGCAGCTTATTTGTGTGTTTTGTAATATGTTATAATGTCACTCCACTACTTTGGTTTGTATTATTTATCGAACTTAGTTGTATGGTTTGAAACAAATGGTTTGTAAACTATGTTATTGTAAGACTTCCGCTGATTTACTCTAGTGTAGATATTTGAATAAATGTTGTAATACTGCAATGACTCTGTAATGTGATCCTGCTCGGAAATCATGGATGATTCGGGGTTCTCCGAGGACACCCGACAGTCTTCTTAAGTTACCGGGAACATATGCATAGTTGTCAAAGGTCGTCGGACAGTGATAGGTGCATGTGGGCCCTATAATTTAGGAGGTTCTGCCACAGCTGAGCACCCTTAAGCCTTGGTGGCTTTGTGTAGGTGTGCTTGGATGCCCTCTAACTCACTTGTGCTTGCAAGAGTGCGATCCGATTGCGAGTGAGTGTGATTCTAGTGCGTTGCATCGTGAGGTTGCATTGAGTGGCACTAGGTGATCGTGTTGCAAGCCAGTGATGCTTGTTACTCTTGGAGGTTGCCACCTCCTAGATGGCTTGGTGGCTTGCGACTCCGTTGAAGCACGCAAGAAGATTGTGTAGTGCTTCGGAGGATGATTTGTGCGGGGGATTGTGCTCACCCCATGGGGATCGCGAAAAGCAACTCTAGTCGAGCGTGTCATTGAGCTACCCTCATTTTTGAGGTAGGTTCTTGCGGTGCTCGACGTGCGGGCTTAGCGGGTGATGCCAATTAGCCGTTGAACCACCAATTGAGCGGTTGACACAACGGAGACATAGCTTGGTGGTAACCAAGTGAATCTCAGGAGAAAATCACCGTGTCAACATTGTCTTCATTATCTTCTTGGTGGTTTGCTTTCCGCGAAACACAAGCTTGTATTACTTTCATTTATATTGTGCTTGTGTAGTTGCTCTTGTGACTAGTTTAGCTTTAGTAGCTTGCTAGTTGCCTTCTTGCTTGTGTAGCATAGAAGTAGCTCCCTTACGTGGCTAATTTGATTTTAGTAACCTTGTTAGTCACATTGCTTAGTTTGTATAGCTAAGTATTTTGCGCTCTATAATTTGGCTTGTGTAACCTTGTTATTAAGCTTTGCTAGTGAACTTAGGAGCTTTGTGCTTTTTTGCTTACTAGACTGTGTAGGAGCTCTCCCGGTTGCCAAAGTATTAGTGCATAGGTTTGTGTGACTTTGCTCTAAAATTGATTAGGTGAGATCTAACTAGTCCGGCACCTTTGTTGCCTAATTAGGATCTTTATAAGATGCTTGTGAACTTAGATAGAGGGGTGTAGTCTTGGTTAGACCAATGGTTTTAATTTTGCATTTGTTTCGGTTAGTCCGGCGTGATTAAATTTTAGAAAGGACTATTCACCCCCCCTCTAGTCCGTCATCTCGACCCTACAACATGTGAAGCCGAATTATGAATAGAAGCATTGGCATATGATGCTAAATTTTTAGAGCAATTGGCTAAATAATTAGCATTGTCATAGCCAATTCTCTCATTCATCGGCATGTTTTGTGGTAGAACCACATATTTTGAACTTATAGCCGATGAATAAAGATTTACATGTTGTATGTTGCTAGTAGCATCAAAACTTAAAGAAATTACAATTGACATCGGCTCTTGACCATAATATTCATAATCATGATGTGTATTATGAGGAGCATTAACAAAAGTATTAGCCGATGTAGCATATCTAGCATTATTATGACTAGCAACATCAACATGAGAGTTCATAAAACTTGCAAAATAACTATTAGAATCATAAGATGGATTTGCAAGCTGTACCTCAGGGTGATTGTAGTAGTTTCGTGATGCAACACCTTGGTACTCCATGATTTAGAACTTGATCGCCTTGCTGAATTTTCTAATAAGCAGCACAATTTGTTGCAAAATTGCAAACAAAATCACAAGGGGTCAAAACCAGATGCGATCGGCCTTTTAGGACAGATGCAACGGTAATGGCAAGCATAAGAAGATAAATCAGTGAGTAGTAGGGCTAGGGCAAGAAGATTCGGCTACAATGTAGAGCCGAAGCAAATTTCCCCCAGTGAAGTCGCCAAAAAGTGTGTTGATGTTGAATATGGTCCAAATCACACACTAGCAAGGGCATTGGACGCCCGGGCCACCACGGACCGAAGAACGCAACAAGGCTATCACTCTTTCATGGTGAAAAATAGAGAGGTTTACAAGCAAACCACCAAAGGATAACCAACGTGCTTACGTGACGAAGAACCGGCTAGTTTTCTGGCAAATTAGCAAACAAACCGTCGAAGCTCTCGCCCAGGAGGGACCCCGTCGGGGCAAGGATGTCGTCGGGTTGCCCTAGGTTGACCGGCAAGCCTAGGACGCCATCCTTGGTCATGGATCAAGGGATGAACAACATGAAGATTGGAGAAGAAGGTAAAAGGGTTGGAGTAGATTGGTATGTTTGACGATTGGATAGTTTGAAACTCAATCGGCCATAATCCTCTCGTATATATAGAGGGGTGGTCCTATCCCAGTAGAAAACAGATCCCAAACATAATCTCTAAGTTTCCCACGTCCAAAACCAACTTGGGGGTCAAACCGGCTCAAAAACAGCAGAAAAGTCGGCTTAGCTGACTCCTAGGTCAGCTTAGCCGAGTCCACGGGTCCGTGACGCTGTTTCTAGGCTGAAAACAGGGGGAGTCGGCTTAGTAGACTGGGGACTCGGCTAAGCCGACGGGCTGCTGGAAATTCCGGGTGAAAAACTTCCAAAATTCATAATTAATTCATCCGGACTCCAAACGAGATGATCCATATATGTTTTTCGGTCATCTCGACGAGAGAAACGTAATGTGAAGTCCATTCTTGCATTTGAGGAAGTTGGTCTAGTCAGTTTAGCCGACTTAGGGAGTCGGCTAAGCCGACTCTAGCTCCCAAAAAGTCGTTTTCTTCGTCCAAGCACCAAATGCAATGATCTAAGCTGACCGTCTTGATGATAGAAACATGATGATGAAGTCCATTATGCACTCCGGACAATTTTGGGTGTCAACAATGTCACAACAAAATGACTACCTCTCTTTCCATAATGTTTATAACTATTTTCCTCTCCTCTAAAAGCATGTACATTTGTGTGGCAATGTCTGACTTAACAAATGTATGTACATTTGAGTTGATATAAAGCATCACTTCACTCTATTGTTTACATTTAAGTTGAATAGCTTAGCTCTACTGAACAGTTTGCCACCGTGCATGGGCGCGGCGAATCGTGCCTACTTGCCTCATGCGCATTAAGAATCCGGGCGCGGCGAAGCGCGCCTACTGACCTAGTGTCTAATATCTCAGAAGCACAAAACTATACGAGGACCAATTACCAAGCCATCGTTTATAAAAAAAAACATAGTATCGGGAAAAAAAACCAAACCATCGCAATTCAAAAACCATATCACCTGTCTCCCCCTCCTCCAAGGCCCCCAACATTTCATAAATAACCTCTTCCGTCCTTCCAGATCTAACAACGACACCCTCAGTGCTTTTCTCCTCCTCCCCTCGTGTTCTCTCAGAATTCACGAATCAATCCCCGCCGATCCCCTTCCCATCAGGCTTTTCCCGCCAGGATGGCCTCCGGTCCAGGAAGGGCCCCAGGCGGCATCCGAATCCGGGAACCGGGCGATAGGCACCGCGATGAGTCCAACACCGCCGCCGCAGCTGCAGCTGCAGAGGCGCCTCCACCCGCTTCGCCCTCCAACGTTCCCCAAGAACAGCCCCATGGTCCATCGGGAGCCCAAGGCGGGAGCCCCTCTGCCGCCGCCGCCGCCGCACGGAAGGGGAAGGGGGTCTTGGCTCCATCCCCGCTACCTTCCCCGACGCGCTCCGAGTCCGAGGGCGCCAGCTCCCCGGCATCGTTCGACATCGTCTCCGACAAGGTTGCCGGAGAGTCGAGCTCCTCCAACACGCTAGCGGACGGCGACAGGAGGTTGGGGGTGTCGTGGAAGGACCCGCTGGTGGAGTCGACGATGGAGGTGCCGAAGGTGACGAGGCCTATGGATGTGAAGTCGGCGTTCGACAACTTGTCGCTGGAGCAGCAATGGGCCCTGGCGGAGGAGATGGAAATGCAACAGTGGCAACTGGTAAGGTTTCTTGGATCTTTGGAGCGCATTTTTGAGTCGAAACTGCTTTCTTGTGATTTGGGAGCTGGAATCCTATCGTTCTTGTGGGTTACTGGGGACGATTTAGGGTACCGGAAGCAAGAAATTGTGCGGCGTCCTATTGTAGGTGCAGAATCCGTGGGGAAATTTGTCTTTCTGTTTTTCAACGATCTTGCAGCAGTTTAGATGCTTGCATTTTATCTTGATTGTGATTGCATGTTTTACAATTTACTGTTGAATTCGTATAAATATTGGGATCATGTTTTGATGAGCGATTCCTTTCTCATTTTTGTATGTTGGTGGTTGCTGCTCCTTGTTTGAATATTTGGCTTTGATGTTAATTCTGTGTAGGTGCAGCAGAGGAAATCTCTCTGGAGCAAATTCAAAGGTGGCATGGCAAACGTGGTATGTCCTGAATATTCCTTTGTTTCTTACTTGTGATTGGTGGCTAGTGTGGGCATTCTTGTGCCAACTTTTGTGTTTGACATGTGGTATTGGGATCTCTGTGCTTTTGTTTGCTCATATGAGGTCTTGAGATGACTAAGTGTAAGTATGGCAACAAATCTTGTTAAAAATGGTGTAGCATGGCATCCAAGACTAGAGATGAAAGTATTGGAAAATGTTATAGAAACTCAGTTATTGGCAATTGTTATGGAAACTTGGTTTCTGTTTTTGCCTAGATTAGATGGTTCCGGATCACTTATAAGTCCAACTGTGATAAGATGTATGGTATTCTGTGAAAAGTAATGTTGTCGTCGTCATGCGTTGAATTTTTTTAAAATGTGAGAGGTAGCTGTTTCCATTGATTTTATTATTTGGTTTTCACTGTGATGGTTTATTCTTCACTGTACTGTAAAATACTGATATAATGAAGGCTTTAGTGTTGGTAAGAAATCCTGAAGCCAAATGTGCAGGGGTTTAGCATTGATGGATGGCCTAATAGGAGATGTTACTATATTATTGGAAGCAAAGACAATACATAGGTCCTTTGATATTTCCGTACTATTGTTTTAACAAGCTCTGTTATCTTTTCCATTATTTCCTTGTATATTTGACCTTGGTGTTAATTCATTGGTGCTAATTCTTGCAAAAAATGTGAAATTTTAACCCATTTTCTATGGAAATAGTTTTTGGAGAGGATAGGAAGGCAAATGTACAACTACAATCCAGAATCTACAGTAATCATACCCCATGTGAATCATCAGGTTTGACTCCATATACTATTTATGTGCCTTTTTCTAATTGATACAGTCAGATTGTGATGGGACCTTATCAGCCTTAATTTCTTATTTCACTGAATAACAACCACTAAATATCAGCTGAGAAACAAGTGGTATAGTCATTTTCTTAAAATGTGGAAACCTGAAAAGCATAACTAACATACCAATCCATTTTTAGTTCTGCTGCTCTCTGGTTCAGATCATTATGGTTTGAATTCCTTTGCGCTTGTGTTTCATGCAGACAATTCCTATGACCGGGATCATTGAGCATTACAACCTCATCGAAATGGGTGCTGGACGAGGAGAAATATTTCATTCAAATGCACTGAACCTTCGTCGTGCCTATTCTGAATTTAGGCCAGTGCATGGAGATGGAGAGTGTTTCTACAGGAGCTTCATATTTTCCTACCTCGTAAGTGTCCTCCCTTTTCCTTAGAACAACCTTCATGTTTAGGGGGTTAACACCCTAGTTTGTGCAACTGTAAAACAGGAGCAAGTTCTTGATAGGCAGGATACACACGAGGAACACCGTCTTCTTGCTGCTGTTAGAGGAGTGGCTAGGCATCATGCACGCCTTGGTTGGACCTCTGAATTTTCCTGGAGATACAAAGTAAGCTCACACCTTATCAACATTTGGCATTTCTGAGATAAACATGCTTGAGGGATGATTTTCTTCAAGTTACATCAAGTTGCAATCTGGATCTGGCATCTCACTGTCCTTTTTCTTTTATCATTTGCAGGATATGCACATTGTTTCACATTGGTGGCATATTGGCATGCCATCACAATTTTACCTCTTGACATGGATTCAAATTTGAATTTATTGAAAATATAACAGATCAATACATGTTGAAATAAGATCACTTTCATATAACAGCACTGATGAGTAATATTTACAGTTATAGTAATAAATAACTCATGCTTCTACTTCCCCGAGATAATGCACCCAAGTTGCTTTGTGTGGTCATCTGATTCAATCACAAATGTTTTCTTTGGTGCTTCTCTATCAAAAACATTTTCTTTCTTAAGTACTTATCTTGTAATCGGTGTACTCTGTCTGAAGGTTCTCAGACAAGTGTTATCATGATCATACTTGTTCATACCTTTGTTATAAATGGTCAGTATTGTGTAAGCATTATTGCAGTATATAGTAATAATCTGATTCTTTCAGGCATTTAAGACACTGATAAAGAAAGTAATGAGATGGAAAAGACACAACAGATGGAAGAATGTACCAACAACCGACAGGTTTCTGATATATTTGATTTTCTGTGATTCCATTGATGTGTTGCTGGCAATGCATTTTCAGTATTTTATTGAACATGTGTCATTTTCCAGCTACCGCAAACAGAAACTTCTCAAGTTCTTCAGCGGTTATGGCAGGACAGACAACAGTGAGTGAAACACCCCTCTTGAACCAAGCATTCCTTCCTCCACTTCGTCCTAATACATTGTTCCAATACATTTTGTTGGTCAGTTTTTGCTTTCCTCAGATTGGTAGCAGCTATCTGGATATGTTCACACAGTGAAGAGTTTGAACCACGTATACCTGAGCTTAATGAATATGGCACTCTCAGAGAAGTAAATATCTCTGTCGCTTTCCCTTGGACCCTTGCATTATTTAGTTCTGAACTGCCAATAATGCATCTGTTCCAGAAAATCTAACACTCATTCTACCTGCTCTTCTCTCTTTAAAAACAGTGGTGCCTTCACAAAGTTATCAGGTATAAGGTTTTCACAGATCATGTTCAGATGACAGCATTAGTCACCGCTCTTGGGGTGCCGCTGCGAGTGGAGTACCTCTTACAAGGAGATGGTCAAGACCTCTACACTCGCCAGGAGGATTCCCAAGACGATACGCCAAGAAGTACATGTTGGCCTAGTCATCGTCGTCAACTACCCCATGCTCATGTAGTCCCCCATGTGACCGTGCTCTACACAAACATTCACTATAACATCATCTACCCCCACCGTCGCGATGGTCCTGTTCCTTCTATTGGGGAGAGCTGTAGTCAGCAGACTGCGCAGGTACAGCGGCCAACTGCTGAGAGTTCAGGTCAACAAATTGCCCAGAGAGATAGCTGCAGTGGTGAGAGTTCAAGTCAACAAATTGCCCAGAGAGATAGCTGCAGTGGTGAGAGTTCAAGTCCACATATTGCCCAGGAGGAGATCTCCACTGGTGAGAATCCAGATCAACATGTAGGGCTAAAGTTAACTTCTACTGGTGCCCATGAGTATGATGAGCATAAGAGCATTGCTGAGTGAAGCAATGGGTAGAGAATTAGGCATACACTGATGAGATAGATAATATTCTGGACTTTTTTTCTTACGTTGGTACAAGCTGCTGGTGCAAATTGGATGATCAGTCGGTCAGTTAATCTGATATGTTGATTCATTTGCGAATTGTTATCATATCTCTGAAATATCCTCATAATATTTTGGTGTATATAGAAGGAAAATCATTCTTGTGCATTCTCTTACGGTTATTCTTTCTGACGAGCTTGCATTTTCTATCTCATTTGTAAATCTTTTTTCTGTATTCTCTAGCTATCAGCTTATGATGTCGTCTGCCTGAACTTGTATGGCAACCTCAGAATCTCATATGTCGTTTGGCCTGATGAGATGATAACAGAACACAAATATTAGATGAACTTGTATGGTTCTGATAAAAGATACTTGCCTTGCATGAACTTATTGGTGCAGTATTCATTCATATATAATCGGTGCGAAACAAAATAGCTAGCATGTCCCGCCCATGTTGCTCTGCATCCAGGCCATCGCAGCCAGAACCAAAGGCAGAGGGAGAGGGGTCGTTAAGTTGATAAAACTTTCACTGAAATTTTTAAAATTCTACTTAACAAATTAGATGTTTGGGTAGCAGGAACGAGGTGACCACTTGTGCCTCCTTTGCCCCTATCACTATAGAACAAGCAACTCTAACCATATCCGCCATATATATGATGTTAAAAATAACAAAGAAAACTTTGCAGATAAACAACTGGACAGGTGCAAGTTCTAGCTTTGGTATATTAAATGACAATACAATTAAGAGACTAACATGTTTTGATGATATATGATCATGTGTTTACTCCCATGATGATTTATGTATATGGACTTGTGAGAAGAAAATGTCATTCAAATGAGATAAGTCCAAAAGATTCAATGATTAGGTGACAAGCAAAGTTTAAAAATTAATTAAAAGAAGACATGAATCAAGATAAGTTTGTCTCACATGAATGGCTAGCTTGTCCATCAAATAAGGAGCATTGGTATTTGGGTTTCAAATTTGGTCAAATGATTGGTCCTAACAAGATGTGTTATAAATAATCAAATGACAAGTATAAAGTCAGTGGCAGAGGACTCAATATGGCTAGGGAGGACCTCTGCCATACCTTTTTCTTCATCATCTTCTCCTCTTTTATATCTTAGTTTTTTCTGGGTTTTTTTCCTATGTCTTTACTATAAATTGAGCCATGGAACTTTATTGGTATAGTTGTGCCACACCTCAATTTATATCCGTCCTCTACCACTGTATAGAGTTGAAAAGAGAGAAGAGACACCATATGTATTTCCCTGGCCTCATTAGTTGGAAGCTCATTTACAAGATGGTTGGATAATTAAGATTATATCACCTAGCAAATGAATGAAGATTGTAGCTCATGCATAATCATCGTTATTGATGATTTGCATAAATTGGATATAGGAAAAATGGATTTCAAGTTGAATGTTGTTGATGATACAAAATAGGGTGAATGGTTAAATCAAGCTATGTCTTTAAGGTACAAAGCAAAGGTAGAGGGCAAGCAATGGCTTGAGAACCAACGAACCAATGCAAGGCTAGGTGCAGAAGCAAGTACATGTGTTAACTCCGAGGAACTAATCAATCCATGATGAGCCTTGCAGTGTGAAGTAGCAAGTAATTGTTGAATCATATGTTGTGGTGACTTGTACGGATGAAAGTGAAGTCTTGATCACATGGTGTGCAAGTCATTAGTTCAAGGGAGATTTACCCACATGCTATGTTGAAAGCCCTCAGGTTCAGATTGACCAAGTGGTGGCATCGATTGAACATATAGAAAGCTCAAGAGACGACTTATTGTATACCTTTGATTGTGGTGGTATCGATTGAATATATAGAAGCTCAAGAGGCGACTTATATATTGTATATCTTTGATTGAGCATATGTATGTATTACTATTAAGAGGGGGTGCAACATTGGTCAAAATACAAGGTCTAAAGTGCTCAAGGAAAACTTGGTGAAAAGCTAATAGAAACACTAACATAATAAAGAACAAAACATACAATACTTTTAGGAGAGTATGCAAGAACACAGAGTATGTACATAACTTAAATCTAGTTTCTCCTCTGATATAACAGCAAGAAAATCATCCAAGAACCAAACTGCCCAAATCCCTCGTGCCCCCCCGTTACCGTATCTCCTCCAGGGCACCGACCATTACGGCCTTTATAAATATCCCCCATCATCTCTACCATTAACAACGACGCCCTCCACGTATTTCCCCTCCGCCCCCTCGCTCTCCCAGATTTCGCGAAGCAGACCCTCCGCACCCCCTTCCCTTCAGGCTTTTCTTCCCGCCACGATGGCCTCCGGTTCAGGAAAGAACCAATACGACAACGAAACCAAAGAACCGGTCTATTCGCTGCGCCAGCGCGAGGAGTCCAACGCCGCCGCCGCTACAGAGCCGCCGCCCTCCGCTCCGCGGTTAGAGATCATCGAAGAAGAGGAAGAGGTCCATGGGCCACCGGCAGCCGGAGGCCAGAACCCCTCCGCCGCCGCCGCCACCGCCACAGCTGCGGCGGCCGAGCAGAAGGGCGAGGAGACCGTGTCTCTTTTCTGGGCGGCCTGGGGCTCCGCTGGCGGCAAGCCCCCTGTTCCTCCACGCCCTCCCTCCTTCTCGAGAGCGGGCCCTCCCTCCTTCTCGAGAGCCGGAGGTCCGAGCGCCGCGTTCGATTTGAAGAACGTGTTCGATGAACTGATGCTGGAGTGCCAGAGGGAGAGGAGCGGGGAAACGGACCAGAAAGCCGAGGCTGAGGGAACGCCGAGGCAACAGAATGAGCAGGTGTTGTTTCCTGGATATTTCGACTACGTTCTTGAGCGATTCCTGTTTGCTTGTGATTTGGCCTTTGGGATATCGAATCCTGCCGTTCTTGGGGATCTTGGGGGAGGATTTTGGATACTGGAGTCTGGACCTAAGAAATTGTACGGCATCCTAGAGTAGGGGTGGAATCCTTCGGCAGATGTTGTGGGCCAATTTCTCTTTCTTGGTTTCTTAGAGTGGCAAGCCAACGATCTTGCAGAGACTTTTGTAGGTGCATGTTCTTGCGCTGTTATGATCGATATTTCTGTTCAGTTTGATGTCATGCTTTCATTTCACCGTCAAATGTCAGGGCCAATCTCTATGTTTATTTGAGATAGCATAAACCAATGTGGTTTCTTTAGATCATTGGCGGATTACATGCATTGCTGGTTTTAGCCCTTGCCTGGCTGATTTCTTGCCTAAAGCATAATCATATTTTGAATAGCTGAGAAGAGACTCGATAAGTGTCGATTTTGTTATCACTGCTCCCTTGTTTGAATATTTGACTTTCGACGTTAATTTTGGAACAGGTGGACTCACCAGCACTTTGGCCCCAAAAAGGCAAGAAACCGCTCTGGAGAAAGGTACAATATGACCTGAATATTTCTTACATCTTTGGTTGTGATTGGTAACTGGTGTGAGCACTCTTGTGCCAATTTTTGTGTTTGAGATGTTGGATCAGGATTGTTCAGTCTTTGTTCTCTCCATGCTTATATGAAATATTGAGATCATAAAATTTATTCTGGCAGGAGATCATGTTCAAATGGGTGTAGCATAGAGATGAAAGCAATGGCAAATGTTATAGTTTCTGTTCTGCCAAGATTAGATGATTCTTGATTACTATTGTGATCTGATATGGAATTTCAAGGGGAAAAAACAATGCTGCTGTGATGTTTTCATAATTTTAAAAACTGTAAAAAGTGTTATTTCTTACACTGATATTATTAACGGTCAGTATTTATGTCTTACTCTTCATCGTACCACAAATTGTCCTTGTTGACGTGTTTCCAAGGAATTCTGAAGACAAACATACAGGTATCTGATGTTGATGAATGGTCTAATAGTTGAAGTTATTATATGATTAGCAAAAGAGACAATTGTCAGATACATAAGATCTTGGATATTTCTGTAGTAATATTTTAAAAAGTTCCATTGCCTTCTTCATTGTTTCCTTCTGTGAACTATTGGATGGATCTTGGCATTAATTATTTACAATTGCTTCTTATTCTGGCAAAAATTGTGGAATTTTTAACCCATTTTATGTGGAATAGTTTTTGGACAGGATAGGAATCTCCAACCGAAATTACACAGTACCTCATGTGAGCTACCAGGTTTGACTCCATACACTGTTTACGTGCCTCTTCTAATTGATATTATTGGTTTGTGATGGGACCTTAATCGGCTTTGAGTTTGTATTGAATTCAAGAAATGCAGTATATGCTCTTTCTTTCTTTATTCATCGAACAAATCAATATCAGCAAAAACATTGCATTTATTAGTGGCTTAAGGTTTTCTTATAATGTGGAAACCTGAAAACTTAACAAATTATAATCCCATATTAGAACTGCTGCTTCCTGGTTCAGATCATTTTGATTTGAATTCCTTTGCTCTTGTTTTTGTGCAGAAACTCCACATAACCGAGCTCATTAGGCATTACAATCTCCTTGAAATGGTTGCTGGACAAGGAGTGTTATTTCATTCACATGCTCTGAACCTTCGCAATGCCTATTCTGAATTTAGGCCAGTGCATGGAGATGGAGAGTGTTTCTACAGGAGCTTCATATTTTCCTACCTCGTAAGTGTCCTCCCTTTTCCTTTGAATAAGATTTACGTTTTGTGGTTAACACCCTAGTATGCGCCACTCTAAAACAGGAGCAAGTCCTTCATAGGCAGGATACACATGAGGAACACCGTCTTCTTGCTGCTATTAAAGGAGTGGCTAGGCAACATGCACGCCTTGGGTGGGCCTCCGAATTTTCCAGGAGCCACAAAGTAAGCTCACCTCCAAGTTTACCATTTCTGAGATAAACATGTTTAATTAATAGATCATTTCTTCAACTAACATCAAGGTGCAAGCTGGATCTGGCATCTCACTTTCCTTTTTTTTCTTTTATCGTTTGCAGGATATGCACCATTGTTTCACTGTAGTGGCATAGGGGCATGCCATCACAACATTACAACCTGTTGACATGGGTTCAAATTTGATTTTATTTGAAACGTAACAATCTAATGCTAATAAAAAATACATGTTCACATAAGTTCACTTTCACAGAACAGCAATAATGAGATATCATTGTAGAGAGATAAAAGAGATCATGCTTCTTCCTTACACCAAGATAATGCGCCCATGCTGCTTTGTGTGGTCATCTGATCAAATCACTAATGTTTTGTTTCTCCTACTTGCTTATAAAATATTTTCTTTCTCAACTACTATCTTATAGTTGTTGTTTACTGGTAGAAGCTGCGCAGGCAAATCTTATGTTGCTTATATCTTTTCGTACCTTGTTATAATAGTCAGTGTGTAAGCCTTATTGCAAGAAAATATAGTGATTATCTGATTCATTTAGGCATTTAAGAAGCTGATAAAGAAAGTAATGAGATGGAAGACACACGGACGGTGGAAGCATGTACCAACAATTAACAGGTTTCTAATATGTTTCTTCCCAGCAATTCCATCATAGTGTTGCTGCCAATGCATTTCACATGATGTATTGAATATGTGCCATTTTTCAGCTACCGCATAGGGAAACTTCTTGAGTTCTTCAACGATTATAAGGGGACAGACGACAGTGAGTAATACACCCCCCTGAACCAAGCTACCCTTCCTCCACTTGTATCCTAATTCCTAGTTCATCGTTAACACATTTTGTTGGTCAGTTTTTGCTTTCCTCAGATTGGTAGCAGCTATCTGGATATGCTCGCACAGTGAAGAGTTTGTACCACTTATACCTGAGCTCAATGAAGGTCGCACTCTCACCGAAGTAAGTATCACCGCCAGTTTACCTTGGGTTCTTGGATTACTTAGTTCTGAACCACCCAGTGCATCTTTTTCCAGAAAACATGACACTCATTCTATCCTCACACCTTTCTTTATTGAAAACAGTGGTGCTTTCAAGAAGTTATCCAGCGTAGGGTCTTTACAGATCATATTCAGATAACAGCACTAGTCAGGGCGCTTCGGGTGCCTCTGCGAGTGGAGTACCTCTTTCAAGAAGCTGGTCAAGACCTCTACATTGGCCAAGATCCCCAAGATGATATGCCAAGAAGCACGTGTTGGCCACGTCATCATCATCAAGTACCCCCTGATCATGAAGTTCCCCGTGTGACCGTGCTACACACGCAGGAGCACTATGACATCATATACCCATACCATCCTGATGGTCCTGTGACTTCTGGTGAGAGCTCTGGTCAGCGGTCTGACAAGACAGAGAGCCAGGCCGCTAAGAGTCCAAGTCAACACCAGACGGGTAGCTGCAGTGGTGAGACATCAAATCAACAGATTGACCGGGTAGAGGGCTCCACCTCCACTGGTGAGAAATCAGAATCAGATTAACACACTGCGGAGCTGGAAAGTTGAGTTCGTCTCTGACCATGAGTATGATGAGCATTTGTTGAGAGAAGCTATAGATCGAGAATTATGCATACACTGACGAGAGATAGATAGGCATATACTTCTGGATTCTTTATCCTGTTGGCACAAACTGCTGGCGCCAATAGGATTGTGGATGATCAGTAGTTGCTCCTCCTTTGTCTCTGACGGCTGAAAACTTTGTTCTGTAGCTCGGTTAAAGTCTCGACTTGGTACATTGATTTTGATTCTTTTTGTGAATTGTGATCACGTTTTCTTAACTAGGTTCCTGTGGTAACTTTGCCTCATAATCATTTGGTATGTGTACAGACTAAATCTTTCTTGTGCATTTTCCTTTTCGTGATTAGTTCTGTTCTGAGTTATGACGAGCTTGCATTTGTTAGTTCTTTTTTTATTCACTTTGTAATTATTTTTCTATCTTCTCTAGCTATCAGCCTATCATTGTGTTTTCTGGTGAATTTGTATGACAACCTCAGATGTTTGGTTGGTAAACTGTAGTTGCAGTCAGTTCCTATGATGTCACAGCCTCAGCCTTTTTGGCATTTTTTGGTATGCTTGCGAGTGGTGCTGACTGCTGAGGACGCCGGGTAACTTTCGGCAGCTCCTGTATGCTGGGTCTTTTCAGCTTTCCTGACAGGGCCTTATCTGGTTTGGTGTGAGAGAAAAATATTGTTCTAGCTTCAAAAGTTGAAGCAAAATATTCAAAGAGATATTGATTGACAAATTTAAGGATATTGACTGCACTCAACCTTAAATGACACGCTTTCAGCTTTTCTAACCAAGGAGCGTCCAATATGAGTCATGTGTCCACTTTGGCATTCTTCCTCTTTTTCTCTTGAACTTTTCTAAGTTTGGTCAAATTGGAAATACAACAATACCACAATATCAAAGTATTTTTTACTAAATTCACCACAAAATATATAATGATTTTCCATTTATTTAAACTAGTAAAATTTAGTCTAAGTTGAATAAGTTTGACTTGGAGCAAGATTAAAATGGTATATAATTTTATTTGACTTAGAACAAAATTAAAGTGATAATTCCTACATTTCAAATTACAAGACGTTTTGGCTCTTGTAGATACATTGTTTTAATACGTATCTAGACATTGTGTATATCTAAGTGCATAGTAAAAACTAGGTATCTAATAAACCAAAATGTCTTATAATTTTAGAATGAATGGGGTATATAATCTAAAAAGACATGGTACGATCGGATGTGTTGTTAAAATAAATAGAGATCCTTGTTTCACTTTCTACTTATCACAATATAAAACGCTCACGTACATGTACACTTACCTTCTATACATATATCTACACACATGCTATTTTATGAGCACTTATGTGAGACTGGATCGTGAGTTTTTGAGATTGGTGAGTCACTATATACACCTCTCTATGGATAGCACGCACTTCCTGCTACTATAAGAATTTATGAAATATTGAGCTGGACAAAAGTCTAGATACACCTCAATGTACCAAAGTTAAAGCAAATTAGAGGATAACACATTTGCCTGGTAGGTGTATGGATATATGCCACAAGGATGCATATACAATGAAATTTTAGATATAATCACTATTTCTATAAAAAAGTACATTTGTACTATCTAATCTCTATGTAGCTTCGTTGATTGCCTTAACCTTTGATTAAAGGGCCCTGTTCGCTTGTCTTATAATCCGTACTTTTCAGCTTGTTTTTTTAGTCGAAACAGTGTTTTTCTCTCACAATAAATCAGCCGGAATAGTGTTTCGGCTTGTTTTTTCAGCAAAGCGAACGGAGCCTAAGATGTAGGTATCTGAACTCACGCACTAGCTCACGCCACACACATACACCCTAACATACTCACACACACCTCTAGTGCGCAAACTAGACCTACAACCTATATCTAAGGCTAAGAGAACACGGCGGAAAGATATGACAGTGGTAGCACATCCGTACGAGACCACTAGAATTATTAAGGAAAACACTATTCCCGGTGAAACACCCGTACTCACATATGCCCCTAGTGCGTAAGCTAGACCTACCATCTATATCTAAGCCTAAGAGAACACGATTAAAAAATATGGCACGTCAGTGCGAGGCAACTGAAATTATTAAAGAAAATACTATTCCCGATGAGACAGCCGGTGCCGATACTAGGCATCAATTACATATGGAGAAGAACACTCTCCTTGTCCTTGAGCTTGGAGATTTCAATTTACCAAGATACTTGACCACTCGTTAAATAAATAAATAAAAAGGCAGTACACTGTGTGTAGTGGCACTGTCCAAAGATACCAGTGGCGTACCCGCCTACTCACGTGCGCGCTCTGTGAGATTGTGACTCTGTCTCTAGCGGCGGCGCCGCCGACGCCAGGTGCCCACGGCCAGGCCTTCATCTTCGGCGCCTTCGCCGGCGACGAGCACCACCAGGTACGCCCACCCCTTCTCTCCCGTTCCTTCTGTACGAACCTGAGCACCCAAACCCTAGCCTAAGCTGTTTGTATTCGGATCTTATCTGATCTGATCCAATCACTAGTGTAATATACACATGTTATGCCTACAATTCGATCTGATCTGATCCAATCACAAGTGTAATATGCACATGTTATGCCTACAATTCGATTCTCTGTTTTTTAACAAAAAATATCGGGTGTACGCCCGTCCTGGAATACAGGACATCATGACTTATAAAACTTGTACTGAAATATAAGACATTCTATGTGGTGCCTATGTGCTCAGATTGTTAAAAAGGAAACCATAATTTGACGAGAAACTATTTAATTGGATTTAATCCATGAGTAGGGCAAAATTGCACGTTCACGAAAAAAAATCCATGAGTAGGCCATTTGATTAGTCCCTTAAGTTGTCTTACATTTTTGGAAATGCATTGTGTTACAGGATGAAGGAAGTATATGTGTACACGGTACACCCATGTTCTTTACTGGGTCAGCCCTGAACCCCGTGTTCCGTTGTCTGATTTGCAGGTACACATGTTATGGCTGGCCTGATCAGGTTGCGTGCCAGTCTGAGGAGTTTGCCGTCAGTTCCTCGGTCGTCGTTCGCTCGGACACCTCCGGCTTTACAAGTGGCGGCTTGGTTTCCAAGCCCGCTATTTCATTCTGCTAACATTCGTGAGAGCCGTGCTTTACTGGTAGCAGCACTGGATGTATCCAAGGATGGGTCCTCGGTGGTTCTGGCGAATAGCCAGCCTCCCAAAGGTTCTTTAATTTTCTTATTGGAAGCCTTCTAGAGGCTGTTTAGGTCAGTCTACTATGCGGCTGATCAATGTCCGTGTCAGAGTCCTTGACTGCGCTGTAAGTTGGGAGTAACTTGCACGTTGCTTGCCTGCATGTTTACAGGGGTTATTGAGACATTGCGCAATGCTGATGCAGTATGTTTCGACGTCGATAGCACCGTCATCCTGGATGAGGGTATTGACGAGCTTGCTGATTTCTGTGGGGCAGGGAAAGCTGTTGCTGAATGGACATCAAAGTAAATGCTCCGTTGTGTAGATTGGTTCATCTGGACTGTGGATTTTGCGGGAAGAACTAACCATGGCTTAATATTCTTAGAGCCATGACTGGGACTGTTCCATTTGAGGAGGCGCTGTCAGCTAGGCTGTCTTTAATCAAGCCATCTCTCTCCCAGGTGGAGGAGTGCCTGAAGAAGAGGCCACCAAGGTAACCTCGCCTATTCTAAACTTCATGTTAATATATATGGTAGCTGGTATTTTGGTGTCCTTGGTTTCCATCCCTTTTTTTAGGTAACCTCGCCTTATTCTAAACCTCATGTTAATCTATATGGTAGCTGGTATTTTAGTGTCCTTGGTTTCCATCCTTTTTTAACTATTTGGATTCAGCACCACTGCTATTTACCTTTTGGAAATAATGGGTATGGGTGTTTATCCCTTGTCTGTTCCCCCCTTATATGTAACTCTGTATAGAACAGAAAGTGCTTAGTAATGATAATTGATTGACCGGGTTTCTCTTTTCACAGCAAGAAAAAAAATGTGTAGTTATATTTAAAATCTGTACAGACAACCACATCATTATCGTTTTGGCAAGTTTGCCTTATGCCTTTCGTAGCAGTGCTCTAAGATTTCTTTAAATACAGTATAAAACAAAGAGAGAAATCACTCAGCATTGTTTTCCCCGCACTGCAACAGAATTAAGCACTGTGTTTCAACTTACAAACAAGGATTGTTCATTTTCTTGGTCCAATTTAAAGGATTATCAATAGCAGTGCTTTTTTTGTTTGCAGGATTTCTCCTGGAATGGCTGATTTGGTTAAGAAGCTAAAAGCTAATAATATTGATGTATTCCTTGTGTCAGGAGGCTTCCGACAAATGATCAAGGTAGGTCCTGTAATATCATACCATGGTTCGTTTCGGCTGTCTCTACTCAAATTTGTATGTTCATTATATTCCAGTTGTTGGAGCAAACTAAAAGGTACAATTTATTTTAACTACACTTTAGTTCAGTTGTAAATTTGCTTTATATATACGGTACGAAAGTGGTTGCTCACATATATATAATGGGTTATCATTTATTGGCTCAAAATCATCACTTAAATGTTTTCCTTGTTTCCAGCCTGTGGCATTTGAGCTTGGTATTCCTCCTGAAAACATCATTGCAAACCATCTGCTCTTTGGCACTTTGGGGGAGTACGCTGGATTTGATCCCACAGAGCCCACTTCACGCAGTGGGGGTAAAGCAAAAGCGGTGCTGCAAATAAAACAGGTCTAGTTAAACTGTATATCTTTTGGTTGCACTCTTTACTTCTGACCATTGTGCTGACCTTTCTTTGTGTTCAGGACCATGGCTACAAGGCAGTCGTTATGATTGGTGATGGCGCAACTGATCTTGAGGTATATGACTGGATAACGCCTTTGAAACTTCTATCCTGAATTCCTGACAATAGATATGCACAAGGATGATATGTCTTATTGGGTAAAGGGCAGTTATCGATACTGACTTGATTTTTGTAATGATATGGTCATGCTTCCTGGCTGATTTGATTGTTGAGTCATGCAAACCTTTCTCACTGTTTGTGTTCCACTCAAATCTTGTAACTTTGTTTCTCTTGTTCATGTAGCATGAGATAGAAATAATAGGTGACTGAACTTCAGCAAAAATATAATTTAGCATTATGTAACAAAGAGTGGGTCAAAGAGTTTGTTTTGCTTAAGGCCTGTTGAAAGAAATTGGTTTAAGGCTATTGACATATCGCTGCTATTCTTTAGTTAGTGAATAGTTCAGAGAGATATAACTAACTGAGTGTATGCAGTGCAGCTTAATGGTACCAGACTTTTCTGATATATCAGTTTATAGCAATTTAACAATAATGCTGTAGCACAATAAAATGTTATACAGCTAGATTAATTAGCCCATGTCTTTGCAGGCTCGGCAACCTGGCGGGGCAGACTTGTTCATCTGTTATGCCGGTGTTCAAATGAGGGAGCCAGTCGCAGTAGAAGCTGACTGGGTGGTTTTTGATTTTCAAGAGCTGATCACCAAGTTGTCATAATGATTACTTACCGTGATTTCTGAATCTTGCATTGCACATTTGAAGCTGAAGATTTAACTAGCAATTCTTGGACTTCAGTGAATTATCTGGTTGTAAAGTATTTCTTTTTATTTTTTCCACTTTATTTCATGATCCTGATCCACAAATTTTGGAGGTGGTGTTCTAAGCAATTGTTGAGTATGTGTGTAATGAATTCCATCACAGTTAAGTGCTGAATCGCACCTTTGTTTTTGCAAGCATTGTGGACTTGTATGTCAAAATAGTGCACAGCTTAAAATAAAACCAACAATTCTGACATACTGTGCCTGTCGCAATTTTTAACCTTCATTGGTTCTCATGTACTCTACGTCTCAGCTACATATCTGTTAGGAAGCAAATTATAGACTTTTGAAATTAATTCCTTCAGGACAGCAACTACTTACAAACAAGTTGTAAGCTTTTGTGCAACCGTTATTTAGTAAGTTCATGTTGACCAGTAGACTGTCAGCGTTCGCTGGTTGGTGCTGGTGCTGGGTTTTTTTAAGAGGAAAACATTGTTGGCTGGTTGAATAAGCCTGGCTGAAATCAACAAGCAAACCGGGTGTGTATTGGTTAATTTCCATGAAGACTTGTTCATGTGTATCTCTATAATTTCAAATTTGGTCGTGTCTTCAGTATCCTTGTGTGAGCGGCGAGTACTTGACTCTACTTATAAATTTGACTTGTGCTGCTTGTTCCTTGTGTTTTGTTCATCAGAACATGGGTTAAAGGGTTCTTAATACTAATGCATGGTCTAGCTGCTTCAGTTCTGTTGACGCTTGAAATTTGGCTCATATGTCCATGCATCTGTTACCTGCACAAATGGATGGACCATTTCAGGTTAAAAAGGATGAAGCAACTTAAGGACTGCATTTTTTTAAATACTTGAGGACTATGAAAGCATCTAGGCCCCTAATTGAGTTTCGGTGATTAATGACAATACGTGATTATTATGACTAATGTGTGTTTTGTAGAGGCAATTAAGTTAGGTCATGTTAATGGCAATTGATTGGGCAATCATGGTTGTCATGTCCCTACGATGGAAATCGTTTCGGTTTTCAAAGGATAGACGACAAGGTTAAGGATGGACTAGTTCTAAGTGTCGTTTGGTGTTGAAAAGACACTTAGAGTAGTTTATGACTTTGTTTTTTCTTTGGTCGTACTATTAAGGGGGGTATGGACTAGTAGCTTGACCTAAGTGAGTCTAGTGGGTTAGGTGTGGTGCACACTTGTCAAATCTAGCACTAGATAGCTCATGAATAGCCCTAAGATCAATTGGAGCAAACTTTATTCATATATGATTTCGAGTTGGAAGTGAATGGAGGGTCAAATGACTGACCGGACGTTGATCTGGTTGTGATCGGACGCTGAAGGGTGAGTCCGGTCAGTTCATTTGATCAATTGGAGCCGTCTGGTTGCGACCGGACGCTGAGTGAAAAGTGACCAGACGTTGGGTGCCAGAGTCCGGTCAATTCCAGAGAGGTTCCAGAGAGGGAGTTTCCTGATCAGACGCGTCCGGTCAGTGCTGACCGGACGCTGGTCAGGATCCGGTTACTGACCGGACGCTAAACAACAAAGTGACCGGACTCTGGGCGCCAGCATCCGGTCAACATCAGTAAGGTTCCAAAGAGCAATTTTCGTGACCGGACGCGTCCGGTTAGTGCTGACCGGACGTAGGTCTATGTCCGGTCACAACTTAATGGCTCTATGGCGGGGATAACTGACCGGAACGTTCGGTCACCTTGACCATAGCGTCCGGTCACCCCGCAGAACGTTGACGCAACCTCCTATTGGTTCGTTTTGAATGAGGGGGTATAAATACTTCCTCTATTCATCCAAAGGAGGTCTCTTGCCCATTTGATCAGCTGAGAAACACCCTTGAGAGTGCTTTGGAGAGCAAGAGCCTAGTGATGTGATTGAGATTTGAGAATCCAAGATTAAGACCTCGTTAGTGCAAGGAGAGTAGCAAGTGTGCATCCACCCTTCTCATTAGGCTTGTTGTGGTCAAGTGAGAGTTCGTGCTTGTTACTCTTGGTGATCGCCATCACCTAGATGGCTTGGTGGTGATCAAGAGTTTGGTGATCATCCGGCGGAGCTTATGGTTGACCCAACTCAAGTTGTGAGCGGTTGTGGCCGATTCACCTGCGACGGAGTGTCGAAGAATCAGCCCGTAGAGAGCACTTGATCCTTGCGCGGATCAAGGGGGAGCTACACCCTTGCGCGGGTGCTCCAACGAGGACTAGTGGGGAGTGGCGACTCTCCGATACCTCGGTAAAACATCGTCGTGTTCCTTCTCCTCTCTTTACTTTAAGCATTTACATTTGAGCAATTCAATTCTTATCTTTATATTCTTAGAATTGTCATGCTAGAATAGAATTGGAACCTAGGGTGTAAAACTTTTGTACGGTAGATCAATAGGAACACATTCTAGGCACAAGGGGTGAAGTAGGCTAAGTGTAGGGTTTAATTATTGCAAAGAATTTTAGAATTAGCCCAATTCATCCCCTGCTCTTGGGCATCTTGATCCTTTCAATTGGTATCAGAGCCTTGTGCTCACGTATTTAGGCTTAACCGCCTAGAGAAAGATGTCCCACGGGGATGGACCTCCTCCTATCTTTGAGGGAGATGATTTTTCTTATTGGAAAATATGCATGGAGGCTTATTTAGAAGCTCTAGATGTTGGAATTCTTAGAGCCGCCTCTCAAGGCTTCCCAAAACCTAGGGATCCCACACACCTTCAAGGCGATGAAGTCAATTATGAGAAATGGAATGTAAAGGCTAGAAACACCATCTTTAGAGGTCTTTGCAAAGATGTGTTTAACCGTGTGTGGAACCACAAGGACGCCCATGCACTATGGTCGGATATTTGTGCACTCCATGAGGGAACAAAGAGCGAGCGTGAGAAACGCTATCATCTTGTCATGAAAAAGCTTAATTCTTTCGAGATGCTTCCTAAAGAAAGTGCAAATAAAATGTACTCACGCTTAAATGTTCTTGTAGAGGAAGTCAATGGACTTGGACTTACACAAATACAATCATCCGATATTATAAGAAAGATCTTGAGTGTCCTCCCCATTGACAAATATGGACACATTGTGATCGTGCTTCATCAAGGTGATCTTTCCACCGCTACACCAACTCAAATATTGGGAAAGATCAACGCTCATGAGATGTATATGCATATCACACCACAAGATGGCTCTTCTTCTACCAAGAAGAAAGACAAAGACTTGACATTCAAGGCTAGCCAAGAGAAGGGCAAAGCAAGAATTGAGTATGAGAGCTCAAGTGATGATGAAATTGATGATGCAAGTCTTGCTCTCATGGTGAGAAGAACCATCAAGATGCTAAAGAAGCTCAACAAGAACGGTGTCAAGTTTGATGGCAAAAAAATAAGTTCTTCACTAGCAATAGAAGGAAGCCAATCTCCGAGATAGATTACTATAATTGTGGAGAACTTGGTCATCTAGCTCATCAATGCCTCAAGTCAAAGAATGACGAATATAAGAAGTAAAAGAGCAAGAAAGATGACTCAAGTAACGAAGATGAAGATGAGAAGAAGAAAAATAAGCCATACAAGAAGAAGGATGGCAAGGAGAAGGATTTTTACAAGAAGAAGAAAAATGGCAAGGCATACATCATCGGTGATTGGCTCACGGATATTGATTCATCAAATTGCTCATTCGATGATGATAGTGAGAATGAGAAGGTGGCCGCTATTGTGATTGACTCCTCATCATCTTCACCGACACCACCGCCATCATCCTCTACACACCTATGCCTTATGTCCAAGGGTGAACGAAAGGTATCAAATGATGATGAAAGTAGTGGTGATGAACATGCTAGCAATGATGATAGTGATAGTGATGATGATGAATTTGAATCACATTCATATGATGATCTTGTTAAATTGCTAAATCAATACACTAAGATCATTAGAAAGTCAAGAGCTAAGAATGAAAAGCTAGAACTTAAAAATGACTCTCTTTTAGCTAAATGTGACATAGCGGAAAAGGCTAGTGTTGAGCTTAGAGAAGCAAATGATGCTATGTCATCCAAACTCAAGGAGCTCAAATCTTCTAAGAAAGAGCTTAAAGAAAAATATGATAAACTTGAGGGGATGCATAATGAGCTCATCACTAGCTACAACATGCTAAAAGAAGAATATACAAATCTCAAGATCAATCATGATAATCTTGTTGTCTCTAATGAGCTATTATCCAATGAGCCGCATAATGCTACTAACCATGTTGTTAAGATTGATATAGCTACATCATGTGATGATTTGATCATTAAGAGCATTGAGCAAGGTTCTAGTAGCAAAGGCAAACAAGTGGTTGAGTCCGACAACTATGATGAGTATGTCAAGATCAAGAACGAGAATGAGGAGCTTAAGAAAGATCTTGAAAAGCTATCAACCACCAACACTATTGTGATGGAGAACCTTGACCATGATAGTGATTTAATTCTTGAGAATGAGAAGCTCAAAGAAGAGAACAAGAGACTCAAGAAGAAAAAAATCATGATGAGCTCAAAGAAGAGAACAAGAAGCTCAAGCTAGAAAAAGAACATCTCAAGACCGGGTTGAGCAAATTCACAAGAGGTCAACATCTTCAAAGTGAGTTACTCATGAACACCGTCATGAAGATGGATAGAAGTGGAATTAGATACTTGGCACATCAAGAGGAGAAAGCAAAAGCTCAACACCAACAACAACATAAGTCAAAGCCAAAGCCAAAGAGGTGTTTTGAGTGTGGACAAGGTCACTTTGTCTATGAGTGTCAAACTCCTCCACCACAATCCTTGCCAAGCATGCTAGACCTTTTGCTTTCAATGCTCATTACATGCTTAGAAAGAATTCTAGTGGTAAAATAAAAGTCATGTTCTTAGGACCTCCCAACAAGAATAGGCTTAAGAAAATTTAGGTTGTAAAGTCACTTGTTGAGAAAGTCAAGGGCCCTCAATAAGTTTGGGTCCCTAAA